TCATTGTCATTGATCACTGTCAACCGGAGTAGCATGTCAGTTCAGACAGCTGGTCATGCAATAATCGTGCTCATCCATCTGTAACAGTCAGCGAATGGAGAACAGGGGATTTAAAAAGAAAATAAAGATTCACAGAAGCCTAGATGGCCGATAAAGGAATGGTTCTTCATGGAGATCACAATTTCCCTATCGTCCATCTGGGATATCCGTATAGATGGACTACGGGAAAAAAGTGGGTCGCATGGAGTCAGAGCATATACTAGACGACAGCCCATAGAAATGCTTACCTCGAGCGTTGAAATACATGACAGATGGGCTGATCGTTCTTGGGTGGGGTCGGGGCAAGTATAGGTCTAGACGTGGACCAACAATTAAGCGAATACCACGACAGGGACCAGGGGAGGAGTGTTCAAGACTGGGAAACGTATGGACGAACAAGCACCACTTTATGCACAGGGAGTCTGAAAGAATCATTATCATGTCGACTCCCTACACAAAAGGTAGAGAATGAACGTACGTACGTGGCTCTAATTCCGATGCTGCTGAGAGGTGCGAGAATATTTGAAAGTATAATGGTGCTATGCTCGAGGTCAGCGGACGAATGAACACTGATATATCGACGGTCAGGCTAGCATATGTCGCCAATAGTAGTGGGTAACAACTTACAACTGGTCAAAACCAGACACCCTAAACAAGCCGAGACTCTCCAACAGCCGTACCAATTCTTTTGGGGTGCAAACTCCATACATTGGAAGGCAAGTTGTCAATTAAACGTTTTGGAGCGGGTGAAAAGGGTTGAAGCATCTTCGTAGTGTACAAAGGAATTCAAAGTCCAACTGAGCACAGTAGTTACTACACCGCCGAATGGCGCCAATGTCTGACAAACATAATTTTCCGGCTGCTCCCGCCCAACATTCACACATGGTTTGCCGTATGTCAGCTTGAATTGAGTGACAGACAAATAGAACGATGCTGCTCTGACCTACAGCGCCACATGTCGCTCACATGATTCGTCAAACGTCTGAGCAATGTTTGACCGCCACAGTGCAAGTGTTGGCTACAAAATGTTCCCACAGCGTCCAATGTCGGATGTTCCTTAGATGTTTGACAATATGCTTGGGGCAGCACTCTACAGACCATGCCTCAGCATATGGGCCATGCCATTGGGACTATAGGGTTTACTATCGAGCAATGCACCATTGCTTTGTCATACAGACAGTACCGTACAGTCACAACAAATATTAATATCATGAACGTGATGGCATTAAAGAGTGTGTGAGGGAATTACAGGCAAAGACAACGAGAATATGTATGTAAGTACTAGACTACCACATCAACTTTTCATGGATCGCTCTTTGCCAACCAACAGTGACTGAATCCAAACTCGGAGCTAATGAACCGCTGCCAGGGAATAGTTGGAGGTCTTGCTGAAGACATTTAGGGTTCTGCATGGGTACAGGTTACCCGTGCGGGTCGCGGGTATGGGTACCATTGGGGTACGGGTACGGGTTGCCTTTTGTGGTACCCATACCCTCACCCGTACCCGTACCATGGGTTGACAACCAAAAATGAGATATATTGCTACCTACTACAGTGCAGGGAGAACTCCGAGTCTGAAACTATACAGCTGTCAAACCCTAACTAAACAACCCCATATCGCAACTGAAACCTTGTCACGCGAACTAATACTCAACATGTTTGAGACGGCAGCAAAATGGGTCACGAAAATGACAGAGAAGGCTAAGGTGGCGCTGCAGACTTCCAGCAAAAAACGGAAGAATGATACAAGCAGCATCAGTGGCGGCCCTAATGAGCCCAAGAAGGCAAAACCTAACCCGCTCAGTGGAAATTCTAAAGATAGATCCACAGAGCCACTCTCACCTTCACCGCCGACATCGGATGTCATCCAAGTCCCCAAGCCCCAGGTCGTGCAGTCGCATCGGGCCATCATTCGAACTGAAGAAGAGGAGGCTGCGATGTATGAGGATGCCATTGATATCAGCGACCAGGGCAGCAGTGATGGTGATGAGCCTTTGCACAAAGAGGAGAGTGCGAAGGACGAACTCAGTGAGCTATATTGATTTAAAGATTAATCAGTGTTAAGCATATAATAGCGAGATTAATGAAAGATTGGGTCTCACCTGTGTACGCATTCTTCTACCCAAAACCATGCATCGTTGTCATCAGTGGACGGCGTGCACACGAGTTCAAGTGCTGTGCAAAAGGGTGCCAAGCAACCACTCGGAGATTTCTCGACAAAAAGGATGCACGATCCACTGGAAACATGCGCAAGCATGTGAGGGCATGCTGGGGTGAAGATGTCCTTGCAGCCGCCGACGATGCAAAGGATGCAAATGAGGCCCGCACAAAGATAGTTGGAGGTATCCTGCGCAATGGGTCAATCACTGCGTCATTCGAGCGCAAGGGGAAAGGAAAGATTACATACTCTCACCGTCAACATACGAGGGCTGAAACAAGGTAGTATGGTCTTCATATTAGCGCATAGCAGCTGGTTTGACATCAATGACAGGGCAGAAATAGTTAAGTGGGTAGCGGAGAGCCTGCGACCATTTGAAGTCGTGCAAGACAAGGGTTTTCAGTCCCTTATGAAGACTGGAAGACCGGAATACTACATACCATCGCCAGCAACTGTATCCCGAGATGTTCGACAAGTCTTTGTACGCACGCGTGAACGTATCGCTAAGATGACAAAGGTTAGATTAATAATTACAATGATATCCAAAAAAATAACAACGCACCAGGAATATCCGGGGAAACTCAACTTTACAATGGATGGTTGGACTGCCACGAACCATCGGGCATTTGTGGCTGTTTCAGCACACTTGGAACACAATGGGAAGACACTAAGTCTTCCATTAGATATCGTCGAAGTACCAAAGGTTTGAATCACTCACGGATCATATAAAAACCATCTTGCTGATCCAGGTGCAGTCTCACACTGGCAAAGAACTCGCAGCAACATTTGCAAAGGTCCTAGAAGATTTTGGTATTTTAGACAAGGTGAGTAAATGGCCTGGGGGACATGATTCGGATAGACTCACCAGTCATCCACAGATCCTCTGCATTACATGCGACAATGCCGCCAATAACACTGTAATGGTGGACGACCTCGCAGATATTCTTCCCTCCTTCCCTGGCACAGCGAATCATACCAGATGCTTCCTGCACACAATCAACCTGGTGGCGAAGTCGTTGATCAAGGAGTTTGATACGACCAAGAAAGATGCAACTTGGGCACTCGACGATTATGGCAATGACACCAGTGAAGATTCGGAGAGCGATTGGCAAGAGGATGATGGTTTGAATGTGGACATTGGTGATGTAGACAATGAGGAAGGATGGGTTGATGAAGCAAATTTGCTGTCCAGTCATGAGCGCAAGCAACTAGAGCATGATATACGTCCGGTTAAATTAGTTTTAGTGAAGGTGAGTTAGAATGGATTGTGCACCTTTGGGACTAATAGCCCATTATGTAGTTGCGCAAGGTTGCTTTTAAACTGATAAACTCCACCACCATTCTTCTCCCTGCCTGGCATGAGGCTCTCCGTTCGTTGGACATGCCTGTCACTCTCATGCCTCGAGATGTTGCTACCAGATGGAACTCGACATTTGATATGTTGAAGTACACCTTGGAGCATCGCAAAGCAGTCGATGTTGTAATGCAATGCCGGGACCTGGGACTCCGCAAGTTCGAGCTGACAGATGAGGAGTGGGAAATTGCCGGCCAGCTGAGAGATGTGCTAAAGGTGCATAAACAAACCAAACAAACCATGGTCGCTGAATGACTAATCATGGATGACTCAAGATTCTGAAGGATGCCACACTTTTCTTCTCGCGCTCTACACCGAGTCTCGCCACTGTAATCCCGGCGATGGACCTCATTGACGACAAACTAACAAGCTACTTGCAGGACCACAAATATCTGCCGGCAATTCGTGCTGCTGTCTGCCTAGCTAAGAAGACTGTTAACAGGTACTATGAACTAACCGATACATCTGAAGTCTACCGCATCGCTATGGGTGAGTTTTTTTGCATGATATACTCGGTCAATTACTAATCATTAGAATAATAGTCCTACATCCTCGTCACAAGCTATCTTACTTCAAGAATGCAGGTTGGGAGGACGAGTGGGTGGACACAGCAGAGGCCCTTGTACGTGATGAATTCGAGCGATCCTATGAGCACACAATCGTCAACAATGACTCGACGGACAATGAGGATAATGGACTTGGAGTTCCCGAGAAGCTGACGAAGGGAGATTCATCCATGGTATGTTTTTTATCAATTTCTTTGCCGGTACTGATGCTATCATAGAGCAAGAACATATTTGATCATCTACCAGCCCTCGCACCACCAAGAGTGACTGATCTCCGCAATGAGATAGACCGTTATCTCAGTGCTGATGTGGAACATGTCACTGATGCCATCACATGGTGGCACAAACACCATGGATCTTTCCCTTGTCTCTCGCGAATGGCCCTTGATTATTTAACAATCCCTGGTACGTCTCATTTCTCGATGCATTACCCACCAGTACATTAACCAGGCGTCTGAGTCAGCTACTTCAGTTGACGTTGAACGCTTGTTTAGCCGGGGCCAACTTTTACTCTCGCATGTTCAGTCACGACTTTCTGTGCAGTCAACACGTGCCCTGCTTTGCCTCAGATTGTGGAGCCACCTTAATCTCGTGAAGAGTGAGGATATCATGAATGCCAGCTTGTTGCCTGATCTCAAGGGGGAGGAGGAGGACTTGAAGGATGGGTGGGACTGTATTGAGATCAAGTAGCTAGTCCTTTCGTGTCGTAGTATATTATATCAATTTTGCAAGATATCTGTGGGTATACCCTCCGCGGGTACAGGTACGGGTCTGGGAGTTTGATACCCGCAAAAAACCCGTACCCTCTGTGAGGGTATGGGTTTTTGGCGGGTATCTGTATGGGTATGACCTCTGGTACCCCGGGGTTTACCCATGCAGATCCCTAAAGACATTCGGTGAAAAATCTGGAAATGAAGTTGAGAATTAGCGGTGTCAATTTTATCAATTAAAACATACTGTTTGATATAATCAGCGCGTGCTTGAGGAAACGCATGCTTTTGTCGAGCCTCCTCTTTAAGCTTGTCAAGAACCTTATCAAGGTACTCCCAATACTGGCTAAAAGACCAGGTGCGCTCCTCCTCATTGTCATTATCATCCTCCCCATCCTCTCCAAGTCCATGGCTCGCACTGGCAGTAGCACCAATTGGTATGTTATTGTCACCACCTTCATCAGTCTCAGGCTGGGGCTGCGGGCTTGGACCTGTTGATGCTTCTTCGGGTTGAGCGCTAGTAGTCTTCTGGCGAGAACATAATGTTCGGAAGTCAATTAGGAGAGATCGCTTATGAACATAGAGAAATAAGTTGTTGAAAGATGTTGATCGAAGAATTACTTACCATGAATGCGATCCGGGCCCAGTGCGCCATTGTGAGCTCTGTGCAGTTGCCTGCAAGACTGCGGGCCAGTGTGCTTAGATCTGAACATTTCTTGATTGATGCAATAAGCTGTTACTGACGACATCAGCCTAGATGCATGATGTAGTCACAATTGGAGACATCACCTTCTGTTTCATATTTCCCTGCTGTGCTGTCAGTATCTTCTTCATTAGTACATCAAGCCGATCCATAGCATCAGAGTCCTGCAGTGCTTCCACAGGGATTTTGAAGACCGATGGATTTTTCTTGGAGAAATCCTAAGTGCGCTAGCTGTTCAAGTGAAAAGTAGTAGCTGGAAATGCCAATGACGCACATAGATTTTTGCTGAAAGATCAGTGACATATGCTGTCAAATTAGGTGACAGTAAGCATGCACGAAGGCGATCAGCTAAGGAACACTTGTACATAATGGTAGTTAGCGCACGTATGGCTGTGAAACCAATGATGGAGTGAGCGTTACCTCAAAGTCCAGCGATTCGAGCACCTTGGCTGCTTCGGCTGCTTGAACCTTCTTATGAAAGCACGACAACTCAGCCATGAGCTTGATCATCATCAGTTTGATATCATTGATCTAGAACATAGAGCCGCAGCAGATCACTTAGTCCTCAGGCATTAAATGAGAGTTCTGCAACTCACAGTAGCAAATTCCTCTAAGCTGTTTTCAGGTAACCCTTTGCTCCTGCAGACTTCGGCAGCATATGTCTTCAATCTCTTGACTTCTTGCTGCTCGGTTTCCAATGAGTTTGTGCATGGTCATATGAGGCTACCTTGGTGTGGCGACAATGGTGATGATGGGGGCAACTGGTTGCGCCGCGTAGGTGTAGTAGCAGCTCCTCCATGAAACACAGGACTCAGGAGAGTCACAGAGGGTGATGGCTGAGTAGTGGTAGTTTGTCGCCTGAATCGCGCTAGATATGACATCACTCCTCGTCAAAACTGCCAGGGCCCAGAACCACTTGGACGACGGGAATAGAAGTGGTCAGCCTGAGTGAGAACAGGGATGGATACATACATTTAACTAGACCCAGAATTTACGCAGTACAATGGCATGCCCCATGCATGCATGCAAATTACACAGCTCACAGCCCAACACAGTGCGTTGAATGTGTCCATTGAATTACGTTTCAATTTGCGAAGACGTCAAAGTGGTTGCTTGAAGGGCGTGGGACAACATGTTCACAGCTCTCGCAGTTGAATCATTTGCACAAAAAGACTGTCAATTTGCTCGTTATCAGCTTAGATTATAGTATTATAGATTATTCTAATTCACAAAATGGTCGGTACTGCTGGCTGCTCTCGATCCGCCTCCTGTGGAATCATGACGCCTGTTATCATTGAATGAAAAGTTGCCCAATGATCCCAGATGTTGCTGGACAGGGCCTGGAGGTCGGAACTGATTGAACTGAATACCAGATGGATAGTAAGAATATGGCAGTGGAACGCCCATACTCGCAGGAGGATGAGGATGGGCGGGAGGTTGGTATTGATGCGGTGGCAGCGCAGTGAAAGTTCCGGCTGGATAAGGATTCGCCTGAGAATAAGCGTGGAATTGCAGTGGTTGTGGGGATTGAAAGATGGGTCCAGGGGGAGCAGCGCTGTTGAAATGTAATGGTTGTGGCAGCTGAACAGCAGGAGGAGCTGCAGCAACCGCATGCGCACCTGAAGCTGCCTCAGCTGATGCAGAAGCAAAGTGGGGAGGCTCAGCAGCTGAGGCTGCTGTCATGGTTGTCGCTTTCTTCCGAGTCTGAGCCTCTCTCTTTCTCTTTCCAGCCGGTGTTACAAGTAACATCGGCTACATGGCCCCCCTATCATTTTTCCCCTTTGTCCTCGCCTTCGTATGCCTCCGGCTCGTACTTCTCTACCGACTATCCGTTGACTGGATCCTCGGGACCTTTCCTGTCCCTCGTCCCCCTCCTATCGCACCAACGTGCGCACGTGCCTTCGGGCTATGACTTGTTCTGACTCGTGCCACCAATGTGGCTTTCCTTATCTTGTCTTATCTTTCCTTTGACTCGTGCATGCTGCACATTGTATCATTTACCGTTGGCTCGTTCCAACGTTTCTTGGTCTCATTCCGCATTCAACCTTACATCACTAATCAGGCTCTGCTACCAGCGTACCTATACCCTTTCCGTTTCCCCTTTGCCCTTACCTACAGTATGGTAGCCTTGCCCTTAACCCTTTCCACTTAGTATAAGTAGTCGGTCACTCTGTACTAGATTCCCTAACTTGAATCTACTCAATCTTCCCTCGAACATACTTCCCTCTGAAGCCCCCTCAGCTTCAGTCTCTAGTATCTTTTCTTAGGTGCTCATCGCGCCTAAGTCTACCTCAATCGACAACTCATTGTTCGGACAAGACTGTCCTTACTTTGAGAATGTCAGTGACTTTGAAGACATCCGTCTTAGAAGTCACGTGACACGCGCGTCTCTGATATCTGCCGACTCGTCGTCGCCAGTCTCAGTCGCTACACCGGACCCTTCCAGTTACGTCACGAACGTTAGCGGACAACGCCCCTCTTAGGGCTCCGCATAACAGATCTATTTGAGTGCGTAACAGCTGGGCCTGTACTACGATCAAATGCAGGAGTGAGTTGACACTCTGCTCCAGCACTGACGATGGTGGTTCCACCTGTCTTCTTCTGACGGACGTGGTTTGCAGCATCAAGACGAATTTGTTTGCTGTCACCAGCAGCGACAAGTGGGACAGTAAGTGCAAGGCGGAGATTGAGCGGGATGACCTTGGCGATCATGTCATAGTTGTGAAGGGAGTGGACATTTAATAGGAACATGTTTGTTTCCTTGTGCTTGACGATCTGCATTGTTCGATTTGTCTGTTCTCGTTCCTGGTGAGCACGTATGGATCGTGTTTCAACACATTGTGACGAAGCACAGTCATGTTGAATATTAATGGCGCAAAGGATTTGCTTCCAGCATCAATCAATAAACATAAATTTGTATCACTGGTTAAGGCTCTCACCTCTGGTGACTTAACTTCTTGGTTGGTAATAGTTTGCATTCGAGGAACCCGAAGAGTTGGGTGGACTGTGAGTAAAAACTGAAGAAACTGGATCGCAACATGACTTGCATACATGCAATTGCTGTCGGGAGCCAGGATCTCAATGATCTTCCCGATGCGTAGCTAATATTTGATTTGTGAGAATGAAAAATTGCTAGCAGCTAAATAACAACTTACAGTTTCTGCCTCATCCGACAGGATGACATGCCCACCCACAGCGACAGTGTCTCCATTTGTTGCAACAATCGAATCAGCAATTACGAAGCGGGAACTTGAGGAAGACGGAAGTTTTGATGTGTTTTGGGGATCGGTGTAAATTCTGTGTGATTGAGTCTGGCTCCACGGGACAGTCACTACTTTTCCCTTGTTCGCGGGTACAGGAAGTCTGACTGAGCCTGCGTCCCGAGGAAGTGAGTGAAAAAGACAATATAACTTATAGGTAGCTTCACAAACCTGCAGCTTTTGCATTTGCGGTGTTCAGCCCCAATAAATAGCGCTGTTCTAGATGATAAGCAATATACTGCCGCACAGCATCACCAGCGCGAACCCATTTCTTCTGCACAGCATCAAACCAGAAACCGCCAGTTACAACATGCTTGATGATGTCGTGCGAAGCAAATGTATTGCAAGTGTCACGACTCGGAGCTTGACGATTGCTGTGAATGCATGTGAGATGAAAGACGTGGTTGAAGGATTCAAAGCGCTCTGTGGAAAAGAGAATCGCAGGTCCAAATCGACGAATGTACATTGGGATATGTAGGAGAAAGTGGAATTTTGCCTTGCTAATGAGAATACTTGGGGCGCATTGTGCACTGATTGTCAGAAAGTCTTCAATGGCGCGTGAGAGCTGTGCCTTCACTGAAGGTCAGTGCTCTGGAAAATGGAGATTTGCATTGAAAGCGTACCAGATAAGTTTCCAGATCATTGATTTTCGTGTGCCATAATAACACCACCACCTCGCCAATAATCGTCCAGCCGTTAAGCACTGTTTTCGGGACAAGATCATAGATCATATATGGCATTACCTGTGCAAGAGACTTGAAGTGCTTGCCAATTAAGCTTCCCTTGTAGTGACAAATGTACTCCGTGCCGAGAGTTGGTGCATGTAGACCATTTGTGGAGATGGACTCAAGGCGAGTCCGAAAGGTGTCGAGTAGATGAGCCTTCTCGAGGATGAAGACGGTGAAGGTACAACAATTCAGATGGTGAGTCTGAACAATGTTGGGTCTTGCAGAACCTAGCTGCTATTCGACCCTAAAGGGTTTCTGGACCAGGCTCAAGGCTCAGAGGAGAGGAAATATCATAGAAAACTACTGAGCACTCAGACTCATACTGGTAACTGGTGAAAAGATTGATTGCTTATGTAAGCTACAAAAGTGCCAACATAAGGTAAGGTAAAAACAGTCTCTACAAGCCCAGCCAGAAATGAATCCCTACATCTCATGGGAACTTTGAATCATGACTGTCCCCAGTCATCTACCTATGCAAACCAAAGCTAAGCTAAACTTAAGAGAACTAACCTGGGGGTCCTCAAACACCTTTTGTCTCCTTGACGCGTATGCCAGGTAAACTGCGCCAGTGAGTGAGGGTCAGGCAATGCAATAAAACGATAATCTCCAGACTTTGCTTTTAGTACTGGAGGAGCAGCGATGCTAAAGTGAAAAAACGCGATGATGGTTGCATGGATGACGATGGGGAGTAGCCGGATAGAAAGAGGCGAACGAGGGCTTCGAAATGAGTATAGGGTTGACTAGGTTTGGTGAAGAACTGAGGGAGATATGAAGGAAATGGTGAAAACGCGCGAAAATAGCGAAAACGGCGAGTAGCGAGGGCGCGAGTGGGCGTATCGGAAATCTGATCAGATGGATGGAAAGAGCGGATAAATGCGGTCAGAACGCGCCTAAGGCGATGGGCACGCGATCACAGGGCGACGAGATATAAAGAAAGCGCAAAAATGGGGCGAAAGAATTGGGAGGAGCGCGCAAATGCGGATAGCGAGCGAACGGCTGAGCGCGTGAAGGCGCAAATATGCGCGAATGAAAGCCATGAACGAGGGCTTCAAAACGGATATAGGGTCGATGGGGTTCTGATGCGAAATGGGCTGGTGAAAGTGCAAAAAAGTGCGGAGGTGCAAGAGGGAGGAGGAGGAAGGGGTAGGGTGCAGGGCAACAAGGACTGGTCCTATCAAGAAGCTGATTGGGGCAATGGACAGAGCCACTGGGGGATGGTAAATTGCCAAAAGAGCTAAATGAGACAGGCCTTAGAGCACCCAGAAAACCCTTATCTCCCCTCAACTTCTCAAAAACACCAAAAACTCGATATCTCCACAACTACTGCTCCAATTTCGATGAGCCAGGGCGCAAAATGATCGTATGGACGAGGGGAATATGACCCTAAGTTTTCGAGAGATCCGCTCGAAAAACGCGTGGGAAAAACGCTTATCAATGCGCTGGGGAGAAGGACAAGATGCTGAAAAGTGGGAATTGTGGGAGAAGCTGGTAATGAATGACTGTGGTGGGATAATAGGCGAATTTGGGGGATGATTGGTGAGCTTAGAGAGCCTAGAAACACAAGAAACCCTCGCGGTGGGCTCCAGTTGAAGGTACAACAATTCAGATGGTGAGTCTGAACAATGTTGGGTCTTGCAGAACCTAGCTGCTATTCGACCCTAAAGGGTTTCTGGACCAGGCTCAAGGCTCAGAGGAGAGGAAATATCATAGAAAACTACTGAGCACTCAGACTCATACTGGTAACTGGTGAAAAGATTGATTGCTTATGTAAGCTACAAAAGTGCCAACATAAGGTAAGGTAAAAACAGTCTCTACAAGCCCAGCCAGAAATGAATCCCTACAACGGTCTGGCCCCAGAAGTATTTGACGATGCCAAGAAGAACAGTGTGCAATATTTCTGTCGGTGTATCTCTGTGAATGTTAACTCCGGGCATTCCCAACAGGGGGTTGATGAACTCCTCAAGCGGTCGACCACAAAGGAGGTCTTCAAATTCCTTTTCCAGTGTTGCACGAACTTCATCTTCTTTGAGGGCAGGTTTTCCAGCTTCCCGTTTGCGCAAAGATTTGCCGAGTACCAAGAGATGATTGACAATTGATGCAGAGGCCGCATCACGTATCCCTGAAGATGTGACTGCATTCTTCACCTTTTCAGTCCCTCCGGAGAGCTTCGATAGCGCGATTTGATCATAAATATATTTGCGAGTGTCATCAGGCTCACGCAGCCTCCCTGACTACGGTGTAGTATAAGACCAAGTGAAACAACGAATAAAACAGGAAGAAGAAAGTAACCTCGAAGATTTTCAAGTATCCTTCGTCTGTTGATTTTTCAACCATCGTCCCACCGACATAGCAGGTTCTACAGAACATGTTGCACTTGAGACCACCGTGACTGCACTCTTCTGCCTGCATCGGGTTATCGCCAGCCTTGAAGAGGCCATAAGGAACGAGCATGATTTCTTCTTCATACTTGCAATCCCATGCTATAATGCCCTGTTCAGCAGCGGCACTTGGCATCATGTTAGTATGAGTGTCGAGGCAAGGAAAGGCAAATAACAAACATTATTGAATCCTTGACACCCTTTGCGAGTTCAAGAGGTGATGCATGGGGTGACGAAGACACAAACCTCACGCAAAACTCCTTTTCAAGCATCTGACGCGGCATCGCAGCATTTGACATATAAACAACGTGATGTTTGTTCCATTGTTTCGAGACATTTCTGGATACATCATCAATGAAGATGATGAGCGGCACCGACAGAACAAGACGCCCTCCTGACTTCTTGCGAAGAGGATTGGGCATGTGCTGTGCATACGATCGGGAGGACTCTAACAAATAATCAAATTCAGTTGCATTGCTCATCAATGACATTCTTACCCGTAAAGCCACATTCAAATTCACGCTTTTCAATTTCTTCAAAGGTGCGAGCAAATGTTGATACCTCAACAATAATTCGTTCGGGATCAACAATGAAACCGGCCTAATATAATTAGTATAGAAAGGTAGCATAAGGCCAAGTTCCATACCACAGTCAATGCCACTGGATTGCCTATAGCAAGTATCACCGGCTCCGGATGCACAGCGTCTCCATCAGGGAGATAAGCTTGAAAAAATCATTCGGGAATGAAGTAACTTTGCGACGATTGTTGAAGAAGCTTGCCAGTGAAGTATATTTTCTTGCAAACTCAAACTGACGGCACAGCGAGGCTGTCCGGAAGGTTAAGCATCTTCTCACCATGATGAGCCTGGGACATACTGCCTTGACCATCTTCTGGATAATCCTGCATACACATGCGTGTGAGAGGATTGGCGTAGTCCTGACCCAATATCTTTGAGCTCGCCATTGATGAAGAGGTAAGAGAACTAAATACCTTTGCGATCGCTTTTGCGATTGAATTGAGATAGAAAATATTGCCAGAATTGGCTTTCACCTTCTCAGTCGGGTTTCCGACTTGGTTACAAATGCGATCATGGCATTTCTTCAAGCCATAAAGGGTGGGGACATTGGGAGCGCCGAGTGCCTTCGCCCATGTGATCACTGCCCGTTTCTGAGCATCAGAAAAACGGAGACGAGGTGAACTGAACAATAAGTCCGTGATGTACATCTAAATGGCGCCATCATTTAACCGCAATATCAATAATAAGTTAAACTTACCGGTAAAGATGGCCATGGATAAGTTGCACTAGCATGTAGTGAGGACGAAGCATTATCTGTGAAGAATTTAATGACGCGCTTAACAAGGGCGAGATGATCTATGTACCTGACAGAAGCCCAAGGGTATCCTCATCCTCTTGCACGTCATCGGTAGAGTTGAGCTCATAATCGTCTGTGTGAACACCAATCTCCTCGTCACCGAAATGAAGTTGCATTGGCCCCAAAGGGTCATCGGCGTGTTCGCAGGCAGCAAGATATTCACTGTAAAGGTCCAGGTCATCAATGAAAGGTGTCTGAGACCAACCGTCACCCAAGAGCATGGATAGTAAGGGGGCAACTTCATCATTCTCCTCTGTCTCACTCTCCGGTTCCTCCAGCTCCACAGTGCGTGAAGGATCTTTCTCTCGCTGGTCCACAGAACAATAGAGTTGGTCAGATATCGGCTCATGACTGCCAAAAGATGGCGAAGACGGGCTGTGTGCGAGAGGGAGGGAGGGGGTGGGCAGTGCATCCATTGACTGTGTTCCTGAGTCGAGAAGCGGGGGAAATGATGGTTGATCTTCGTCAGCTGTGATTGGAGAGGGAGGTGGGTCAGATCGTGCGGTAGAGCTGTGCAGTCGTTGATTACGCTTGATCTTCATGTACCTCTTGTGTGATGTGCTCGAGGAGTGGGGATGGATGTCACAAGGTCGCATGGATAGATGAACACCTCGTTGAAGGGGACACGCGAGACAACTGATCCGATTATTGCTTTTGTTGTAAGAATACTCTGTAGAAATTGTAGTAAGTAATGGTAGAAACGTGAAGGAAAAAAGATATTACCGCTAGGATTTAATGTGATCCAATGTTTTGCGCGAGGAAGGTAAATGCGGGAACCCATAATAGTCTTGCAGAATTGATTGAAGCTATGGGTTGTGATATATCACAGCATGCGGCAATATTCGAGGGAGCATCAGGCAGCAAGACAATGCGGCAACTGCGAGGACTTTGACACAATTATCAGAATGAAAGTCACGTGAATACGCATTCATTCTCACCACAGCCTGAAGGCATCTCTCCCGATTTCTGCCTGTCTCTGCCCTATACAAACCACCATACAAAATGTCAGCAACGGTGTACATTGACACCATCCAAAAAGGTGACAGTGTTGGACTGAAACCTCTTGCATTATCTGTTCTTTTCCATGGAAGTGTACCGCATGTATTTCAAACACCAACCCAGATCGTAAGTGGCTGCATTGCTATTATTGTTTTCTTGGAACTCAAAATAGCTTATAGCCGCTGGAAATCACTATTAACGTTCCCTCTGAATTTGCTGGCTATGTGGTGCCGATTCTTGATGCTGCTCCTTTGGTGATATCTAGCCCACAACCAAGGCTGCGAATGGTGCGTCTACTAATTCCATTAATTACAGTACACCCTACTCACACACTGTATTCTCTAGCCGTCCTTCTTCCCTCTTCCATCAGACTTCGATCCTTTCACTGCAAGGCGTTGGGTCACACTCTTATATAAGCTCGAATCTTGGCTGGTTCACATTGTTGTCGACACATGCGCACCTGAATGGACATGGGGTCGTGACGCATTCTGGATGGCATTTCTTGCAGCTTATCCTGACTTCCCTCATGGTTCTTGGCCCGTTTGGAATTCAAGAATCAGTCTGGAAGGAGCATTTATTGAGTCGTGGACACTCACTAAGGATCCAGAGGATTTACCTGCATTGATCACAGACCATGATACTATCAGAGCTGTTATATGGACCGATTTTCAACGACTAGCCACTGAATGTTTTCCGTACTCACTTGTAGCTGAGCTTTGATTTTCGAGAGCTACATATTTTTTGTCCTCGTATATAGTGTATATATATCAGATACCCGTTCTTACTGTCAAGCTTGTTGAATGGAATTATGATGTCTACAAGAATAATATAGACGAGCAAGTTCAAGCAGGCCGAGTCATTATATTGCGCTTAGGGACAACATTTACAAGAAACGGCAAACAGATATCTTTGTCATTGAGCAGCTATAGTAGATTTTAACTCATGTGTAGTAAACCAATGCTCGACCTAAACAATATATGTGATAAACATCTAGGCAAACACCACACAAATGTCTAGATCGCTGTGTGTGACCTATGCTCCTAGTGCGATGTTCTACAGTGGCCGCTTGGACCCAAGCTCGGATATATTCCAAACATCTGGCAGATGTTTGACTAAACGTCTCATGGACAACCGGTGGCAGACATACCACATTCAAACCAAGCTAACATATCACACGTGTCTGCTCGGCGTCGCCCCAGAGGTTCTCTCACAGGTCGTAAAAATATTTGTATCAAATGTTCTTATTAGGTTACGGCCGTTTGGCGGTGTAGTTTGTTGAACATTACACCTGAGACACAGTCAGATATGTTCTGTAAACAGATGTGATGCATATCATAAGAAAAATTGTGCATATTTCTACCAATTTGTCTATTGTGCGGATAATGAGCAGTTTCTGAATAAAATTACAAATATGCATAAGGATCAAATTCTATTGATTAAATTCAGAGTAAGTTTGGCAAAACAGGGAGAATTTGTTTCGTAATCTGCATACATTGCATGTCGACTTGATTTCCAAAATTTAGTTACAAATATTAAGATGCCTCCGAGGATACAATTGTTCACGTATATTTCAGGTGACATTTCCAGGGCCATATGGAGGATCAAGTTACATATCGAACTCAAAGTCTGCCCACCTGGTAAACCCGAAAACAAATTTTAAAAATTATCATTATTTATCAACGCGACAAATTGGTTTACAATTTGTAAATATGTCGAATATATGTACGAGTGGCCCTCTGAGAGGCTCACTCAGCTCACTCAATTCGACATTTCTAGAGCGGTTGGATAACGCATGGCGCGATTAAACGTGAATCTACTGTGCATTTAAATATCTCTGTAGATAATCCAGCGAGAGGAGAGCTAAAACGCTGGCAAAGCTTAAGAATGCGACTGAAAGTGCGATCGCCGTTGCTTGGGCCAGCTGAGAATAAGGCTGCAAATATGATATAAAGGTGGGGATGATATCGATAAGACATCAAGACTTACCTTTCGTAAAGCGATGGGCGTTTTGGTAGCCTTGATAAGACGCACTTCGACGACATAGAAGTCGTTGGTTGATTCCTCAATGCGATCTCAGAGTTTTTTGAGTTGACACGAACCTAAACGAGAGTCTGCATATTTCTATACCAAATGTGAGTGGGGGGGACTTGGACCAGAAGAATGACTGACTGACCCGAAGTAAAACCATGTGCGATGAGATACCCTGCAGTATGTAAGTTAACATGAACGCAAACAGATTTATATACAAATGTAAGTGCGGAACTGATACCCTGCAGTATGTATACTAGTTTTTGAGGTACAGCAAGGTTTGCAAAATCATAATTATACAAGGTTACCTGTAACAATAGCTTATATACAATAAGACTTCGATGACTACAAAAGACTACGAAGGAAGGCTACTCGTAATAAGTACTAATGTACAATACATGTACTTAAGGCAATGATAGACGGAAGGAAAACATTAGTGTAAGGTTTCGATCCTAAGTAGTGAATGAGACTCAGTCGGAACTCCGACGGACAAATCCGGCAGCCACTCTGCGTCAGCCCGCTCAACCACTCGGGTATTTCCAGCAGAGTCTAGATCTGCCATTCACTACTTAAGCATTCGAAATCTCATTCCTTACTTCCTTTTGTTCTGTCATGTGTTAGCTATAGCTATAGTGATAGCGACGACTAAGTTTCAATGTTATTATATTTTGTAATAGCGTCGCAGCAGCGACTACAGTTTAATATCAATTAAATCATTGTATTATGTAGGAGCGTCCTAATGTCAGAATTATAGTCATTCTGACCCGAAGCTTGAAGAACAAAAAAGCTGTCATGACTTATGACAACGCCCCTCAAGTCCAGGCCTATGGTGCGACACCCTTGAAGAACAACAAGCTGTCATAACGCGTTGGACTTATGGTGCTACTCAATGGTGTAATATGAAATGTGTAAGTACAAGTCAGTTAATTTGATTTTCTGCGCTAACTGATACACCGCCCAGGCAATAGGTTGATGGTCTTAAGTGATGGAATCTTATTGTCCAAATGCTAAGTTTTCAATTGTTGTAACAGTAGCTTTTGCAAGCTCATTCTCCTTAGCTTCGCTTCAATGGTCGAAAGCTCCCAGCAATGTGAGCCTTAAATACAGGATATTACATCCTTTGAGACCGATTTCCTATCTGTGATTATGGCTCATCATTCAATGCTGGATGATGAACCCGAGATCCACCCCAATCCTCAAAATCTTGCTACAGCTATCATCGGAATTGGGCGAACTGCCCGCAAGTACGTGGCGAAGTTGGGCATTTTCACCGTCACTTATGAGGTCGCAATTTTTCTAGTTTCCTCACTCGCAGGAACCCTTGTTTGCCTGCCCCCAGTGTGCCAGAACACCGGGCTAATCTAGAGTACAGACAATCCGATAATGCTTCATTAACATACAGGCCATACAGGCCATACACCTCGTTCACACCCTCCCCTTCACGCGAAGGGCAACATTCTAGCTACTCCATGTGTCGTACATTTGGCGACTCTCAGTTTAACACGACCGAGTATCTGTTCTCGCCTCTTACCACATCGTCATCCACGCCGTCTGGTTCTCCATCTATTCCAATACCCATGTCTCCGTCCATCCCTACAACACATACTGACCTGGCTACTGTCACTTCAACAATGCCAATTACAGGCTCTCCAGTGTCTACTATACCTGTCTATCTGACCACCTCAGATACCCAACACGGCGATGTTCCCATGGGCGACGAGCATTCATCCCAGGTCAATGATGATGATGTGATGGAACAGGACATAGCACCAGTCGTTCCTCCACTCGTCACCCCTGTTTTACAACCAATTCAACATCCTCCTTCCACCAGCTCCACGTGAACGAGACCGTTGCCATTACCAAACACCGCAGAAACTTATTTGGGCCAGCTGTTAAATAAGCAATTCGCTGAATTATCCGACAAAATAGTCGGTCCTGCTCTTAGCAAAGCCGTTGACGGTATGATCCCGGCGATGGTTGAACGGATAGCGGGCGAGATTAGAGGTCTCTCCTCTCCGTGCTCTCACCACCCTCGCGTCTTGAAACGCGGGTCTGTTGAAGATTATGATACCGAGCCTGAACATGAGGACGATCTTACCCCTTCCCCTCACAGGAAGCATCCAGGAAAGCGTGGTACTAAAAACCATTTACATGTACATCTGGATTACGTCTTTGTGAAAAGGGATTAATCAATATCAATTATAGGACTCGTTTCGTAAATATCTTCGGGATAAACACCTTCTGAAGTCCAAGTCCAAGAAAGGTCCCTTGCCGCAATCATTTCCGTCGCATGTGGTCGAAGCATATAATCATGATAATGATAACCCGCCAACTTTGGACAAAATTGCTATCGATTGGCAGGACTCTTTGAGGTCCTCTGTGTGGAACGCTGAAGCGGTCGATTTACTAGTAGTAGACTTTCAAGAAAAAGTCAAGACAGGCAGTTTCCCATTGGTAATTTTCGACGATGACACAATGAACCTCGATAAGTTACGCGTGCTTTGCATCGACAAGCTCCGTAGCACTCAACAAGCTTGTCGAGAGCACATGAAGATTGAAGGATTTGAAGACAGTCAACAGAGGGAGGTCGCTACCCGTGACTTGTCTTATCGTAACAGTCGAAGGCAACACCTAGATAGGTATAATACCCATAAACATGGGGTAAGTGGATATCATTCTTTCCACCATTTTGTCTCTAATGTCTTTGTAGACGCTCGAAAGACATAGGAAAGTCGTTGACCAAAATCGCCACCGTAATCCTCAATCTTGGGACACGATCAGGCGTATAATTGATCGGCTTGATGTTGATGGAATGAGCGGGGATGAAACTGACACTCCTCTTGGTGCGACACCAAAGATCGTGAGGCGTGTGGCTCTCCCATGGATCAGTCTGGCCATCACTGATCTCCTTCACGCTATTGAGTCCTACGTTCCCGCAGTGTATGAGGAGAACATGTCAGTCCCGGTTGGTAACTCATCGCTTCTTCGTCTCATGGAGGCCAAATGCGCCTCAAAAAACTCTATTGCAATTGCACGTCTCCCGCGCAATTGGTATGATGACAATTGGTTCAAAGCCCATTCAAGCAGTGCGCGGGCAATGCTTGATGTGCACAAAGACTTTGATCTCCAGCTCTTGGTTCGTCTTTGCATTTGAAAATTTGAAATGTTACTTATCTCCTAATAGGATGCCTATCATTCTGCGAATGATATTCGTCGGTTAATTTGCATCGCAGAGATTCTAAGTGTACTTGTATTAGAGCGTTCTACCATCTGAACCTGTATGGCACTTTTTCTATTGTGTTGGACTTGCTACAATGTATTCTAGATTATTACTACGTAAATCTCGATCGCAGTCCCAACAAGGAACAAGCACATAATACCGAGTCTACAGATCGTTGTGGATAATTATTGAAGTTGGTGTGTGTTCGTTTCACTGCCAACATCAATTGTCCATAATGTTCATTGTTTGACTGTGAGAACTTCTCAATCTCAATTTGGGATTCACTACAAATAGACGTCTAGCGCCTCGGGACCTTCTTTTGGACTTCATCATCATACAGTACGGATTTTACATCATTAGTGTAGGAGTTCAATTGGCATTCACGATAAATAGGCTCTTCACGCATTAGAACTTTCCATCATACTTAGATAGTTCGAACAACCTATTAGACTCAGATCGATGTCTAAACGGCCAGCATCTTATGAAATTGCTCCAGAAGGGTCTATCAAACGCGTCAAGCAAACTAATGTGAGTATCGAAACATCATGTTTGTTTAAGCTAACGCCTTTTTATTTTAAAGGCAATGGTTACAGCCCAGGCTAAGAGCTTCCTCGATCTCCAGGCGCAGGTGGACCGGGAGGAGATGATGGACGAGGTAGAGGACGAAGAAGGTAAAGTTCTTAGACTTATGGGACGAGCATTATGCTTTTGATCCCGAACCTATTCCACGCCATATGCTCGAACTCGCATTAGAAGTTGCCTTAAATAACCTTATCGTCCAATTTGGCGAACAAACGTACAAACAAACCCGTGGCCTAGCCATGGGCGTAGCGTGCTCCCCCGATATTGCAAACTTATTCGGGCATTTCCATGAAGCGCTAATTGTACCTAATCTAAATAAATTACTGTTCTATAGACGGTATATAGATGACGTGTTCGCATTAGTCGAAGCTAATTCAGAAATAGAAGCGTATAATTACATGCGCGATAATCTTATTTTAGAAGGCTGCCAAATTGGGTGGGAAGTCTCTCAGCATCACGCTGTATTTTTAGACATGTTTGTGTATCGTGATCCATTCACTAACAACGTAGAACACATGCCTTATCGTAAGAGACTAAACCACTTCGAACGAATCCCATGGGACTCAGCACACCCTTATGACGTGAAGAAAGGCACGTTCATTGGTGAGCTAAGCCGCCTAGCCACTTTGTCCAGTAAAATAGAATACTACCGGACCGCGATCTCAGATCTATGCTGTGTTTACATATCGCGAGGCTATCCGGCATCGGTTATTAATAACTGGTTTAGACAGTACGCTACCAAAAAATGGGAAGCACGTCTATTGACAAGAGCGGTATCAGAGGATCCCATTCTTGTAGTCAAAACCGAATTTAATACCGCATGGGATTGGTTCAGCATTAAAAGCTTAGAGGATACCATTATGCATAAGCTAAATCGTTATAGGAACGATTTCGTGTCCGGTGTGTATGGGACGCAAAACACACCGGTGTACCAAGATAGATTGACCGAATGGCTCGTGCCCGCTCACGCTCCGACTCTTGACGTACTCGAGCATCTGGGCCTCCCACGGGAGGTTCTTTTGGTTAGAGACGTTGATGTAGTCGGCGGCGTTAAAGCCGAGTCGGCCGCGATATTAGATCTTGGCAATTATGTAATGGGAAATGCAAGGTGGCTTGTATCGCGCAAAAGAACACAGAATTTTGCCGATCTCGCATCACTTTGGAGAAGTTCCCTCCTCAAAATAGCATTAGAACAGGACGATTTTATTCCTCCTGTTGAATTATAGATATACACTTAGCGTGCGCGCCACAGCGAAGCCCTACGGAGGGTCCCTAAGTGCAGGTCACGCAACCATACGAACGAGGGTGAAGCTAAGTTCGAAAGTCCTCTCCGTCCGACTTTCCCCCTCCGGGGGGTTTGTCTCGTCTTTAATGCGAAGGATGGCGGGCTAAGTGGTGAAATGACATCGACCAGAGTGGAGCTACTCCTACTGGGTTCAGTCATGCGCGTATGTTTACGCAACTTGTGCTGGCGGGCACTGTGCATAGTGGAGGTAACGGCTCCCGATGTGTGGTGACTTCCTATAAAGCTTAGCGCCGGAAAAGCGGCGCGGGTAGAAATCTATAAATATTCTTTATCTAATTTTAATGTTTCGGACACTTTTAATGTTGTCTTTATACGTATGCGGTCATATTTACGATATGACGCTAGGAGCCAGAGATGGCTGTACGGAACTGATCGGTTCCCGTACATGGCTTTTTCAAGGAAGCCCCCCTAAGCCTAACTAACTTAACCTAACTTCCTAAGCCCTAACCCTAACTAGCCTAACCGCCTTACGGTCTAACTAACCGTTGTTTAAAAATACGTAACGTTATTAATAGTTCTTCTATTCGTAATAAGGTCCACATGACAGATGTCACATGACCGGTTGTCATTCCGATATTTGTTTATGGAACTTCTATTACGTAATAGGTCTAGACCTTCGGTCCGGACTCGGATCAAACTATTATTGCCTCTTACTCAAAGTAGAATGTGTACGCCTGTTTACCTTTTTATAGAGTTTGACATCTGTGAGAGATTTTTAATGGTGGCCTTCGGCCACCTGCTGCGGCACTAAAAATACTTTTAGGCTTATTAACGTTGATAACATTATTAGACATGATACGATACTTCTTATCTTCGATAAACCTTCGTACTCAGACACATACTCCTCTCGAATATGTGTGTCCCCCCCTATTTAAACCAGCTAGAAAACTGATGAGAGTACCATACTCGAAATACCGCCTCAGACTACCTAGTAGCCGGGGGTATTTTTTCTAGTTTATCTCTTCAGTTACTTGTGCGCCCACCAGCGTTTTTACTCCCCATTCCTGCCCCAGATAACATTTTATTCCACAACGAATCGAAATGCAATCCCACATTCGTACAGTCTACATTGCATGCATATGCCGCACAACACTGGGTGGAAGGCGACCTCGTAAGGGTTAGAGCAGGGGAAATGGTTGGATGCACTGCCAAGATTGATTGCGTTGACATGGGTACCCGTTCGGCATCAGCATACATGGAGGATTCGTTGCACGTGGAGAAAGTCTCTCCCGGACCACCTATGTTTTCCCTCGTTGATTTGGAGAGGAAATTTTGGGTGGGGGACAATGTTTGCGTGCTTGATCATAGCATAGTGGCGTTGGCTCTCAAGGGGAAAAATGGCATTGTCGTTCAAATCGACGAGGACACTATTGTTGTACACGACCAGTCTTCTCAGTGCCAGGTAAGTGACTCCGCGACTTTTATATCATTGTTGACGTTCCTTCAAGTTCACTGTTGCAATCGACTCTTTGGCGACATTCATCGGGGATTTCACTAAAAAGGATTCTGCTAATGTAGCAACCGTCATTGAAACTCCAATGAAGGGGGATCATGTCATTGTAACCGAGGGTTTCTATGCTTGTGAATTCGGGGAGGTCTCCGAGGTTGACCTCAGGACCCAAATGCTCGCATTCTTCTCGGAATCACAACAATTACGCATCACGGTGCCCATACGTATGACGGCATTCAATCCTAATCTAGCTGCACTTCGACACACTCCCGAGCGCGGATATGACCTTGTAGCTGGTGATATCGTTCAAGTGGTTAGAGGCGAGCGGCTCCGTGCGTCAGGCAAGGTCTTGCGCGTCAATCTGGATAATTCAACTTTGATGTTCGAAGACACGCCCCACACTGAGGTTTGTTTGTTTTAGTCAATCTCATTCATTTACATTTAACAGATATAATCATAGTTCACCACCCGCATAACATATGTTGCAAGAATTGGCGGGAAAGGGGATCGTGATCCGATGCAGTACTGTATCGGCAAAGATGTCATAATAATATCTGGTCCAATGAAATCCTATCGAGGCACGTTGCATTCGCTCTCCCGGGACGAATGCCAGGTTGCCGTCGTTCAGGGTTCGAAACGAGAATTCCAGCGAGAGCACGTCGTCAAGTGAGAGCACACTTTCGCTTTATCTGTTCAATACTCACACACATGTAGCCGGTCCGGAGTTCTCCTCACTGGTGTTCGCTTGCCTTATAAGCTCCAAATGGATTTTAACAAATTAGTTTGGTCTTCGTTTATCCGGTCCCCACATGTGACCACCCCTCGCACTCCTCGTCACTCACCTCCTCCCGAGGCGTCACGTTCTGATCCGCCTACTGCTGCTACGCTACAATCGTGGGATGCCCCCGCAGAGTCAGTGTTGCTAGAACTGAATCGCCAACAAGATCTTAGTTCTGGTGAGGCTCTCTTTTAATTCCTGACTGAAGCTGTCGTCTGACCTCCCACAGCCTCTCAGGACCCTTGGACAATCAATGAGGCTGACAAGGAAGACTTACGATTGCATCCTGCTAATGCGAGTTCATCGTCCTCTCTTGGTATAGCCCCATTTTCTTACGCACTGTCTGCGCTCGCTCACATTTATTATAGCAGATAGCCTGACCAGCATGTTCCACGATACACGTATTGCTGGCTTGTGCTGCAATTGGCACATGAAGTTACGCGTAGTTAAGACATCGCCTGCCACATGGTTCAACAACTTCATGGATCGGCTCGTGGATATGGTCGCCCCGGACCCATTCGTCCTCTCTAATTCGCTGGTCAAACACGGCGAAATTGCCGTCAGATATTCTTCCAGAACGAAGAACACTGGGATGAAGGTGGATACAATTCCTCTAGAATTTCTCGCCCCGGAACCTCCGACAGGAAAAAGCAAGAAATTCACTTTGATCCGAGGCGAATTCATGGGCAGCGTTCATACTACGATGCTTGCACAGAGAACGGCCGCACATGTAACGACAGTGGATGGGAAGACATTCACTCGCGCTGATATGTGTATTATCTCGCCTACTAAATAACTTGCTTTACATAGTAACTAGCACTGTATGAATTGACTACTTTGATGACCCAATTGGCAGTAACATCACCCACAAACTGGCGAACGCAACCAGGTATTTTATTAAATACGAGTTATTGGCTAAAATCGTGTTGCTGCGAACAGCGATGTTGTCCGCATCTCACGTGCTAGTTTGCAGGCGCCGAACAGACCTGTGGCTTCGTTTCTATTCTTTGGTCCTACTGGTGTTGGCAAGGTAAATTGCGTGTTTGGCCTTGCCTGCCACATCATTCTGATTTTATGAACCCTTAGATTCCTAGACAGAGTTAGTAAAGGCACTAGCTGGGTTTCTTTCAACGACGAGCAGGGAGGACTGTAAGTCCTGTCCAGAATATTCATTCGACATTATACTGAACTCATGCAAATTGACTAGTGTTAATATCAACATGTCCGAAGTTGGTGGTCCAAAATTTTCCTTTCGCTGTTCTACATCACTCGCTCACATAAATTCACAGTACCATGACCGACACGATCTCGAGCCTGACTAATTGGAGTCGCTCCAGGTTCTGTCAGTTTTGAAGAAGGCAGCTGGTTGTTCTCTCATATGCCATCTAGCCTCATCCCTTGTGTGTAGGTTAGTTGACGGAAGCTGCTCGACGCAAAATGTATGGTAAGTTATTCCAGTCCTAGTACCTACATTTCACTAATGCTTAACCCACAGCGGTCATCCTTCTACAGAAGCTCGCAACTGGCTTGTCGAGAAGGGTTATTCTGATATCGATGGCACCCGCACGGTCGCTCGTGTCATGCATACTCATGTGCTGTTGAGGGGGACAATCAGGTACGAAGACTATTTGTTTTCCAATTTTTCCGCGTGTGCTGATGATATTCAACAGAAATGGTGATGTCGTCCGCATCACGGTCTCTGAGAGTGATTCTCTAAGGACAGTCACCCCTCCTGACTCCAGAATTGTATTGAGAGAGGGTCATGATTAAAATATGGTTTCACACCAGATAATGTCAAGCACCACCCAGTTCTGTATCATGTATCATGCTAACTCGAGCAATAGGAAAACTAGAACGATGGCTAAAGTCTACACACACATCAAAACAGATAAAGTTCTGAGCACTGAGAACGGCGAGTTGAAAGAAGAGACACGTCAACATCCTTAGTTTCTTCTCCATGACGATCATACTGGCCTTTCATGCCTTAACAAATTGTATAGGACAAGTCACGTGAAGTGTGTGCGGGTTCATCCGTTCATGACTGACTGATGGCTCACAATACACTGATATTCCACAGAAGCATGATAGGCCATTCTGAGGTCCATGGCTCGTATGCGGCACTGCATCGTAAGAAATCGCCATTTTTTTCCAACCGTCAGCGTGACTAAAGCGGGCCATAAGATTACCCTTGGGACAATGTATCATCCGTGGTGGATGTTGGATCTGGAACCAGAAAAGTGTCTATCCCTCTGGCGAAAATGTTCCATCAGGATCTCCCAGAAACTATAAAGCTGTTAAGAAATGTGAGTTCAGACATCAGGTCCACACGCAGTGGGTAACTTATATTCACATGATCAGATATGGGAGAAGAATGCCCCTGAGGTGCTGCTTGACGGGCGCGTAGAGTTCGTGCCATTGAATTTCTTGGAGGAGTCGCCTGTTGCTGGAAAGGATGTTTACTATGTAAGTGCCAAGTTTGTTCTCATTCAACGCGGGCTACCCAACGATTTGATATAGTTAAGGAGCATCATTCACGACTGGCCGGACAATGAGTCGAGGGTGATTCTCAACAATATTCGCAAACTGATGGGACCAAACAGCCGAGTGTTGATTCGTGAGTCAGCTGCGTTTCAAAGTAGTGTTTTCTCCAGAATCAATGTCCTGTGATAGAGGATTACGTGCTATTGCACACATTCGAAGAGCCTGATGTAGAGGCTGACGAGTCTACTAAGGTGAGTTTCGAGTTTAGCTTGACGGTGTGATCATGCATTCAGGACCATAAGGCGCCTGAACCTACATTATTGAACTTCGGTTGTAGCACGGCACACCAGCATGACATGACGATGTGGCTTCTTTTCAATGGCAAGGAACGAACCTTGAATGAATTCAAGAACATTGGGCAAGTTCCTTCTATGCACGGATACGTTGACGATGTTTGATTCGTTATAATTCGCAGGGCCAGTGCTGGTTTAGTGCTCACCCAAACCTATGATTTTGTGGGGACGATGCTCTTGGAATTCAGAATCACTCAGGACTGATGTCGAACACAATCTGCCACCAATGGAGTGGGATGCTCAAAGGGCATCAAAGTTTAGAACAACGGCAATGATTCAAGGTATTTCTGTGGAGTTGATAGCACAATTCTATACTATGATGCTCATGCAAAGTTGATATGAGGTCAAGAATCACGTTCGAGGTACCTATTTCATGGTTCCGTTCTTTCTCAAGGAAGTCCTGCTGCTTGCACTCTTTGCATAATACTTCATACGTCAAAGTGAATCCAGTACACCGCGGCATCATTGATGGAGATTGTGAAGGAGATTGTAAAATGCACGGTAGAAATGGAGGAGGTTTAGCCGGGAATTGAGATGAGAGCAGCGGCACAGCTTTATTTTTCCAACGAGGTGGGATCCAGGGCTGACTGACTTTCGAGACGAGGGTCTGTGGACCGTGGAGTTTCCAACAATATTGGTCTACAATCAGTATGCTGGTCGCCAGTGGTAGGCTTAGTGCGCCTATAACGCCCACAACCAGCAATCCTGTGCCCGCACCCACCAGGCTGGGAACATATAGGTACTACGCGCTATCGATGTCATCCTTACCCTTGACCTCGTCCATGAAGATCAGCTCTTCTTTCTTCTGTCTTCTTCGACGCAGGATGATCTCTTGTTCTGAGTAAAGTGAATCCTCTCCAGAATAGATACTCCGAGGCAGAAGGATGAATTTTTATGGATGGCATCTCAAGTTCATGGGTACTTCCAAGGTCATGCCAGCCAATGCCTTCATCAGGAAAGACAGGAATGTCAAGATCGGGCTGCAGAGTGCGAGCACGCTTAAAGTATCAACCTGCAGCTTCCCTATCACGCTTCCAAGCTTCTGTGCCGCCTTCTCCAGGCTGTGGCTGTGGCGGTATCCTAATGGACGACAGTGTAGAATAAGATGCTGACAGGAAAACAGAAGCCGCTCGCTCCTTCGAGATGAAGAAGACCAGCCTCCAAGAGGAGCTTGACCAGGCCCGCCGAGCTGCCAATGGACTGACCATAATATGAGACGGTTCCACGTTGGCCTTCTTCAGATGCATCAAGGTGGTCCATGATGTTTGGATAGGTAGATAGTGAGTCACCAATTTCATTGTAGCACAGGGAAGGTGGCCATGGTGCCACGCCCGTCTGGATAGTCAGACAGGATAGTATCTCTTGTGTATTTCTTTGTTAAGTCTATAATGTAACGACGGAGCATTTTGAAATTCTGAGTCTACTTTTCTCAATGTCGCATTACTTATTATGCCAGCACCGAGCCGAGTGTGTGCTTATACATATTAGATAACCGTGCTGAGTGGCTGAAGCCACTGTCGGTCGTTTCCGTCGGGGTTTCAATTGAGTTTCATTCACTACTTAGGGAGCTAAACCTTCTTCCGTTCCATCTTTTCCCTTTCTTTCGTCACGTTGCACTTTGGTACCCCTGTTATATTGTGAATTGTGATCATGAACGTATGGACGTTACGTCTATGTTTCATATGGACTTGTTTTTGATGAGTTAGACGCTCGTGTCAGCTTGCCGGATACAATTTCGAAAGTCGAGATATGACCGGATATGGTACACTTTTCGTCGGAGCTTTATTTTCAGTCTGATTCACTACTTACGGGCGCAGGTGTCAGTTGTCCCTCAACCGATGTAAGTGATGTCACTATTGCTGTTACACTTTGCACTCATTTGACCACTAGCTGTACATATTCCTTCCAGAATCCAAGCCTCTTTTCGGTATCGTGATGTGCTTTCACCATCAGGGAACTTACTGATATATATTCCTAGATACTCACATGACGAGCACGTCAACATCTGTCATCGGCACGGTCAGCACATCGAGTGCATTTCCTATCTGTCGTCCCCAGCCATGAATGGACATCCTGCTAGACAGAGATCTCGCTGGCAACGTACTATGGGAAGAGGACCACTCTGTTCCTTCCATTATGGATGTCCTTGTCCCGATATCAAGCCTCAGCATGTCACACATTCAAAAAATAGCATACTCGAACGGACAGCCTATATTTACTAGTCGCCCTAGTAATAAGTGGGTTCTTGAGAATGATGGAAAGAAGCAGACGAAAAGGAAGAAGAAGGTGGCTCGCAATGACGCGGATGAACTTACGGAGTCTTCAACAATGTCGATCATACCTGACAACGGTGAAGAAACCTGGAGCGCTCGAGCATATCGCCCTAACAAGGAGGTGAAGAAAGCCCCGCCCCGTAAACGCTCGACAGAGCAACAATGGGCGGGTCTTTTCAATACCGTCTATATAGCCATGCGCTCATTATACAAGGCCACGTTCAGCACAATCCCTCAGCACTCTAGTGACTTTCCTTTCTTGCCCGAGGCTGGCAACAGACGTCCGCATTGATGGTGGTCATCAGAGTTTTCCACTTCTGCGATTCCGGATGAGACCAACGCCCAGAAGCCTGACATAGTCCTTACCAATCACAAGGTTCAAGCGAAAAGTTGGGCACACGTCCTCACATGCATTGAGCTCACCGTCAGTGATCTTGGCACTACACGCGACCTAGCATTGTTCAAGGGGGTGGTCACCAAAGGGTACCTCATGATACGAGAACAACCTTGGCGTCGCTTCATTGTCCTTTTCAGTATCGCAGTGTGGCAACTTCGCGCCCATTATATAGACCGCTCAGGTCTCATCATCACCCGTCCCATATCAATCATCGATCAACCGGTGTGTCTCGTCGATACGTTAAACACCTTGTCGCTTGCGAACTGCCAAGCCCATGGCATGGATCCTACCATTCATTTGTGTGACGATATTTGCAAGGGTCAACACAGTGACCTAGCGAACGGAGCGATAGGTTGGGTAGAGGACAAGCGGAAGGGCATATTATCGATCATGGCTATTCTGTGGAGAAGCCAGGGTCTGTTCTCTCGTGGCACTATCTGCTATCGCATTCAAAATGGCAAGGGGGACGAGTATGCATTAAAGGACTGTTGGGTTGACGAAGATAAGAAAAATCACGAGGAAGACGTTCTAAATTGCGTCTGGGGCATTCCAAATGTAGTCACTCTCATAGAAGCTTGGGATGTCGAATACCAGAATGAGCCTGACTCTACATCACGCATTCGTGATCGTCATGGGGCATCTAGAAGTATTGCTTTCCGTTGCAAGTTTCACCGGTGGATGCTTTTGTATCCCTGCGGAGAGCCACTAATGAAATTCACTTCGAAAAGAGAGCTACTGCTAGCTTTTCGTGACTTTGTAATCGGCGAGTTTCCTCTAGTGTTTGAATTTGAAAATTTATGCTGACACTTTCTCCCCAGCACACGAGACAATGCTCACCGTACATGTCCTACACGGAGACCTCAGCCCCAACAACTTCATTATTCACAAAGGAAGCGGTTACTTCATTGATTTCGACCACGCCCAGATCATATTGCCAGGCAATACTAGTGTTCGCTCACGGGGTACTGTAAGTTTAAAGTGGGGATCAATGTGATAGCAGTCGCTAATGCGATTGTCCGAAGGGTACCCTGCCTTACATGTCTATCCACCTACTTACTGCATGTGCAGAAAAGGAGAAGACCCAAGGAACTGTGACGATCGAACATTGCCCCAGCGATGATATCGAGTCACTCTTTTACATTTTTGTCGAATTCGTTTCCACGTATGATGGACCGCAGGGCTACATATCGAACTCGAAGGTGGAACGATGGGCTGAGACCCTTGAGGATATGGGCCACAGGGCTGGTCCATATAAGTCGTGTTTGGTACTTGTCACGCGCCATGACAAACAGTTGATGAACAGAACAACACAATACTTCGGCGGCATCAGGGATCTCGTTCAGGAGTGGCGCCTCAAATTTTTTTACGCAGCAGAAGAGCAGACCACCATTACTCACTTGGAGATCCTGGAGCTCATAAAGAAGTGGATCTCTCACGAAGCTGTTGATGAGCCCCTTCCTCCAACCCAAGAAGCTGATCTTTCAAGCACAACCCACCCTTGTCGTTCGACCCGGAAGGTCATCCCGGTAAAGAGAGCATAATACTTGCAGATTATTGTTGTAGTTCTTCATATCTGCCTTTATCACTTGTATAATGGATGTGCTACTACTATGTACTACCCGTTGAAGGTATCACCTGTCGGAGTATCATTTTCAGAACCTTGTTTTATGTTGCCAGATATAATTTGGGATGTCAACGCAAATTAATGTGCAACCTTGTCATGCGTGTTGTTGTACTGGATACGCACGGTTAAATATACGATAATGATGGCATATCCTAACAAATTTCCCACTCAGTATCATGCCCAAAGTGTCCAGAACGCCTTCCCGCTGGCGATATTGCCGCCACTTCAAGCCACTTACCATTCACTGCGAGTTTCCTCCCGAACGCGCGTGCACTCCCCCCCCCTTGACACAGCATACCGTTTTTTCTCGGGACACAGACACGTCGATACCTGGCGCTGACATTGACGTTGCCCAACCTATGCCCCCTGCTGTTCAGTTTGCTGAACAATCACCCATTACGAAGATTCCAAAGCCGCATGGAGAAGTCTCCCGTATCAATCATGGAGGATACAACTTACAAGAGAAACTCGGTTGGTCTCCTTTGGAGTACGAAGAAATTCGTGTAAGTGACCTCAGCAACCCTACAGACTTTTTCCCTATGATTGATTGACTTTCTAGAATTTCGTCACACATCTCGCCAACGAATATCTCAAAGTCAACAAGACGTGGAGGAGACAAGCGCAGTGTAGTTTGACTGTTGTATATACAGAGGTAGGTACGCGACCCTGTCTACAGTGCTTGTGATCTAACTCAGTCAGGCAAAGAAACGGTATCCAATACTTGGAGACTATCAAGGAGATTGGGCTGTTGGTGATATGCTACGTATCTATTTAAAAAATAGTTCTAGTCACAGTACTTAGGCATTGGTAGTACCAGCAGAAAACCTTTAAACGGTCCAACTATGTAAGGATGGAACATTGGATCCCGCGCTAGCATCAAACCTTACCATCCATTAAACGTGTGGGTGCAGAGGAAACTAACCAAACAGTTTGGATAGAGCGCAAGGTCGATGTGGGGGGTACCGGAATGACACAATTGGAAAGAAAATGGAGAATAGGTGTTGCGAAGTTAAGGAGAAACGACTCGTGCCTAATCACCTAAATAGGCACCCCATGATTTGTATTAGAGAAGTAATATCAAAAGTAATCAATTACCTATCTCAATCAGTACTGCAACAGCGAGCGGATATCCTTGTCAAAGCTGGGTCTGGTATTTTCCTATCAGACTTGCGTATATATACACACACTACTACTACAGTATAGTATCAATGATTTACATGTCACCATTGCTTATCTTCAGCTGAAAAGGCTTGTCCGGACAAGAAAATATCGCTCCGAGCTTCTCAGATGTACCACTCAGGTGTCTAGCCTGAAGTTCAACGCATTCCAGCCCGTGGAATGCGTTGAGCCAAGGACGACAGTGAACCTACGCAAGAGTGAACACTGATAGCTGCACATAAAAGGGAACTAACCATCAGATCATCTGGATCAGGACCATACACAGCAATATTCAAGGACTTCGCATGTACAATGCGGTGTTCCTCGAACAGGACATCGAAGCAGTTGGCAGCATGAGAAGCATCAAAAAAGCTCAACTTCAGTGCCTGGATAGCGGTGAAGTGTTGAGTAATGTCCAAGATGGCGGACAAGTAGTTGGGGATAAAATTCTCCTCGAACCGTAGGCTGAGGCGTCGTATACAGGGGGCTGGATACACTGAGGTCAAGAGGGATGCGATGTACCAAAGCGGACCGCCAAGGACACTCAGGTCTAGGGTACTTTGGCTCTGATGCGACGTCTGGCTTCGCAACTTCTGTGAAGAACGCTTCTGTTGCAATATCGGCAGGGAAAGAGTCTGTCCTGGATGAATCCAGACTTGTGTAACATTTTGATGGCAGGCCAAAAAACCAGCAAGGACGGCGGGGGGACATTCGATGTCAACAGTCAACATTCGAAGGAGCGGGAGGTGAACGTTCGGCAGTAGCATGGCCCACTGAATGCCACTCAAGGCAGTGTTAGTGAGCGAGAGGTCGCTTAGGGGAGAATCTCGCAAGGTTGCGAGAGTGAATGAGGCGACGCGTGGGGAAAAAACATGGGCGAGTCTGCTGAAAACCGCCGGAGACTACACTTTGCACCTGTATCTAATCCAAGTACGGGAGCAGGTACGACCATACATGAGTGTTTTGAATCTCTGCTTGAATATCTGAAGCTGGAGCAGCCCAAATCCCTGACGAGCTGAAATAAAGATGCGAGATCTACTTCTGGAGGTGCATCGGAGCACATAACTGACGACATGGGCTTGCTCTGAATGCCCTTCAAAAACTCTAAGAAAGTCTGGAGTGCTGTCAGATCACGATCAACAGAGCCATGGAGATCGCAATGCAGAAAGCGAGGTACACAGAAAGAAGTTGTTCGTGTGTACAACAGCAGAGCTAGGCAACTTTGGGCGTTGACCCGCAACCATGTCTGCTCGACATGTAAGCCCACGGCCTGAAAATACAAGGGTGCGGCAAGGTCCTTCAAGAGGACAGACACTTGTGTGATAGACATGAGGTCTATCGCAGGCAGATATCCGAAGATAATCAATAAGAGTTCGTTTGGAAAGGGCCACCAACACGAAAGTGGTATGGGGGAAATGGTTCGTCCGTTCAAGGTTACTGCACGAGAGTGTGTCCTCTGAGAAAGACAATATGAATCAAGGAAATCCAGAGTTTCGGGGTTGACTTACGTGTGAAAGTATGAGGTCTGCGGTGCGCTCCGCAGTCATTGAGTAAGTCTGAAAACGAGCATAAGGCATATGCGAAAGACTAATGAAAGGTTGGACTCACAGTAAGGTTAGCATTTGCACATGTATGTGATAAAGCACACTTTTTGAAACTGGGAGGGAGAGAACCTTCAGGCGCGCTGCCTTCTGTTTTGCATTTTGAACGCTCTTGAGGGAATATACGCAGCATGTCTGCAGTCGTTGAACGAGCCTGCAAACTAGCGTGAGGCTTGTGTGAAAGACTGACGAAATGCTAAACTCATGGTAAGGTCAGACATAGCATATGAACGTGTAAGAGTGCGCCTTTTGAAACTGGGAGGTAGAGAACCTTCAGGCGCGCTGCCTTCTGTTTTGCGTTTTGAACGCTCTTGAGGGAATATACGCAGCATGTCTGCAGTCGTTGAACGAGCCTGCAAACTAGCGTGAGGCTTGTGCGAAAGATTGACGAAATGCTAAACTCATGGTAAGGTCAGACATAGCATATGAACGTGTAAGAGTGCGCCTTTTGAAACTGGGAGGGAGAGAACCTTCAGGCGCGCTGCCTTCTGTTTTGCGTTTTGAACGCTCTTGAGGGAATATACGCAGCATGTCTGCAGTCGTTGAACGAGCCTGCAAACTAGTGTGAGGCGTATGCGAAAGACTGGCGAGATGCTACACTCACGGTAAGGTCAGACATAGCATACTTGTGAGAAGGTGATATAGAACTATGAGGAGCGTCATCTATGACCTTCTGCTGTGAGATCAATGAATTCAACGATAATTTGGTTTCGGTCTTCGCATGTAAAATGACGCGCATGGGTGTGACAGAGTACATCATGGCTGGAGGTGTGAGAATGATAGTGTACAACGCAAGTTATACGTCATATTTATTGCCAGACAGTTCACGATTTGAACAATTAGACCTGCCCACACTCAAGCAAATGGATGCAATATGTCGTGAAGGTACTGCTAAGGATATTAAGTTGAGCAGTTAAACAATAATGTCATAGACCGACTCACCATGCTAAGCTCCTACATAGCAATCCAAGGGAGACGAGAGCACTTTGGATCGACCTGCTTTGAGAAGTCAAACAATAGTTGATCCCTGGAGCATCGTCAACGCGGAAGGCTAGACTTTGCAAGTTAACGCGCCTGAAGCCAATTCAAAGGCCGACTCACTCCTACCAAATGAAATGGGAGCACTCGTGATCGTGGTCAATCTGCTTTGGGAGGTCAAACAATAGTTAATCCCTGAAGGATTAATACATGAAGGCTAGACCTTGCTAACGTGCCCGAAGCCGATTCACTGATGGAGTACTTGGGATCAGGCCCCCCACAACGGTGTCGTCAGTTACTACGAACATTAAATTATCTTGTATTTGGCGTGAATATCGTACCATAAGATTCGAGCCCCGCAGACAATCAAGCCCTGCTCGCATGTGCAGCTTATAACGACCGAGTACCATAACTGTTTCAATTCTCGCTGATGCTGTGAATGTCTAGAGTGAACACATAGTTTTTTGTTGTCATTTCCATGGAACCCACGACTGCATCAATTATACTCACCTCACCATACATAGGAGAAATATAAGACATCGCGTTAAATAGTGAATGGAATAACAAAATCTGCCGGAAGGAGTGACTGATCGGTCCATCAAGACGAACAAGGCAGATGAGAATACAAGATTCATCTTAGCCAGAGCAAGACGCAAGAGATATGATAAGAGACAAGGTCGAGATGGGAATTGAACGAACGAGATGCTGTGTAGATAGTGACCGTGTTTACTATGTTCACTATAAAACTGACTCAACAGTGAGTACCATGCGAGTGTATCCGCATATTGTCACCCTCAACGCAAAAAGACCGAGGATGTCAAAGGAAAGGCGGGAGACAGGGGTAAGCTGCACACAATCTAACACGCCTATTGTTAATAAGCAGAGAAATAGGAGAATGAAGACCTCGCCAGAAGAATTTTCCTATTAACACTGGAAGATAGGACACAAGACGAGCGCGATACCGAGGCGATAAATGTGGAGGACGGGTCGACATTATATGATACAGTTATAGCTGCAAGGAAACATTCAGCGGGAAATCAAGATCAAGTATCGGAGGATTACGACCGACTTTACCTCCTCGATGTTGAGCTGCATGCTCATCTTAAAACCGTCACAGATGCTGTAAACCATCTTGAATCGGCTGATGGGCAACAAATCCTAGTACTGCTTGCTGAAAATCGCAATTGGATGAAGAACGTGCTGGAGGAAGTGAATGATATGGAAGTAAGCAGTGATGCCTGTAACGAGGAATTTCGACATGCATTTCTTGGATCGTTACAGGAGATGGAGGACGCAGTGAAGAGTATCATGGACGTGATCGGTGCTAGAACGCAGGACGATCTGAATAGTGTATCAGCAACCGTCAACACAGGCGAGATATTCGATTTAAACGGGGAATACATACTGAATTATATGCAGAACTTGATTTCAAACGAAGATTTCACAATGCCAGTCCTGCCATACTCCTAACAATGGTCATCGCAATAATCTTGAATGTTTTCGGACATGTTACTAGACCATGGTGTAATGCAGTGCTCGGGCTTCTGAACCTCCTGCTGGAGACTACGCTGGGAAAATCCACCGGTCCCACCATCCCCTGCGATATCCGAACGGTCCAGAAAAAATTCGATCTAGATCCAGTTACTCAGATTTTCGCTGCTTGCACGAGATGCTCGTGCACTTACCCGCCCACGACAACAGGAAAGAAATCACCATACCCCGAGCGATGCACCCAACAGAAGTACCGGGGTAGCAAGCCATGTGGGCAGTTGCTAGCAAAATGTACAAAGCATCAAGGGCAAAAATCATGGGTACCCGTGCGCCCATATGTTGTTCAAGATTTCAATGCTTTCCTTGGCGGCTTGCTCATTAGGCCGGGAATAGAAAAGGCAATGGACCGCGGGACCATGCTGAACGAGAAATATCAGATGTGGGATATAAAGGATGGCACAGTCATCCAGGAGATCTTGGGTCCTGACGGCAAACCGTTCATGGATGGGCTGAAGAGACAGGACCTAAGATTAGCATAAAGTCTTTCAGTAGACTGGTTCAATCCTCACGGCAATAAGACCTCTGGCAAGAAGAAATCAGTGGGGTCGATCGCAATGGCACTACTGAACCTCCCACCTAGTCTGCGATACAAACCTGAAAATATATACTTGGTTGGCATTATCCCAGGACCGAGAGAACCAGCTCTTGATGACATAAATCATTTTCTTCACCCAGTGGTCGACACTTTCCTACCATCATGGAAAGACGGGACATGGTTCACCAGAACGCTTCAGCATACCGAAGGAAGACGCTCGAGATCTGTCATCGCAGTCGCGATCAACGATCTACCAGCCGCTCGCAAACTCGCAGGGTGCGCGGGACCTAATGCGAATCAGATGTGCGGAATTTGCTGGCAGACAAAGTCACAGATCGCCAACTTCGACTATGACACATGGAAGCGACGTACGTGCGAGGAACACAGAGCGGCTGCAGAAGAATGGAGAAATGCGGAAACGAAGTCAGAACATGATATAGTCTTCAAGAAACATGGAGTAAGGTGGTCGGAACTTCTGCGACTGCCGTATTGGGATCCAGTGCGGTTCGTGGTCATTGATGGCATGCACAACCTCTTCCTCGGACTGGTGCAGCACCATTTCAGAGACTTGATCGTCATAGATAAATAGGCGATCAAGAAACCAGAAAAACGACCTGTGGATGTAAAGGAAATAGACAGGGGCAGAATCATTTTTCAGTCAAACCCTACCATCTCTACAATGACCCGCTTGCGGATGCCTGTCCTGGAAGTTCTGATCCAAGAGGCAGGGGTGACGTTGGGGACAGAGGGTCGTACCACGAAGAAGAAGATAATCGAAGCGCTTATGGTGCGTTGTGCATTTCTAAACTCTTGGAATTACCATTGACAAATCAATGAATAGACCAAACACACCGATAGTTTCCTACTGAATAAGGAAGCTCAGATGGAAATAGATGACGACACTTTCGTCACAGAAGAATTGGTCAAGGAGTGTGCGACCGAAGCAGAAGCAAAAAACGACCAAAACAGTGTATCTGCTGAACTCCTGACAGACAAGGAGATAAACAGTATTCAGGCAGAACTGAGGGGCATCCAGCGTCCTTCATGGCACCGCGGACCGCCAAAGAACCTGGGTGATGCAGAGCACGGTAAGCTCAAGGCAGAGCAATGGCGGTCAGCCATTGAGTTTGACTTACCGGTGACGCTGGTAAAACTCTGGGGGACAGAGTATACGAAAGCTGGTCGTGGAGACCGGAAGCAAAAGTTAGCTCACAGCACTATGCTGCTGTCGATGGCAATACGCTGGGGAACGTCACATGTAACATCAACGCACCACGCTCAGCAATACGTGAAATATATGAAGGCCTACCTAGAGTGCATTCAAGACGCCGTTCCAGGCCATTCTTTCCGACCTAACCACCACGCCTGTCTCCACCTTCATGAGTTCCTCCTGAGATACGGTCCCATGCACGGCTGGTGGATGTTTCCCTTTGAGAGAGTAATCGGAGGCCTGCAGAAGACCAACATGAACTATAAAATTGGTGAGTATATTGAATCGAAATAGAAGACTGATGAATAATGTTATACAGGGGAATTAGAGAAGACAATGTTAGAAACATTCTGCGCTGCTGCAAAGGTCAAGGCAATCATTCAAGACCCTGGAGCGCCCAATGTTATTATCAAAGCAGCTGAAATCCTGCAGCAATGTTGCGCGCCTTTTGCAGGTGAAGGATTTCATACAGACACTGGTGTCCTGCGCACAGTGACAGACTCAGATCCATATGTTTCACATGATAACGCTAATATCATCAAAACTCCTATTTCCGATGTCCTCCGCTACACATGGGAGAACACGAGGACTCACATGCACGGAAGCGAGCCCATCACAGAGTATAAACAACTCAACGTGGCAGGGTTGCAATATTGCAGTCGCAACTATTCAACTTCGGATAGTTGCGTGTTCTTCAAGAACACATCGGGAAACTGTGTGCCTGGCGTCGTTGAACACATGATGTCTACAGGACAGGATCACAATCGGGTATATTACATCGCAGTGCGATGTTACTTACCTGTTATCGCAGGCTACCAAGACCCATTTTCAGTGTACGGCGACTTTGGCGCACAGATATGGAGCTGTGCCTCCAGCAACCAGCTGGAAATCGTCCCAGTGTGCGGAAGTCGAATGTGCCACGGTATATTGATGAATTGGGGATCATCTGAATTAGTGCTAAAACCGATGAACCGCGTAAGTTTCGACATAATTCACCACTGATAATAAATACTGACTTACTTCAAAGGACTTTGGTGCATGACGATTTGCCGGCTGAGCAAGTTCGGCGGGATAAAGATATATATTGTGGACAATATGCACATACTGAATTTGTCACCTTGCTCGTAGTTGTGATTATATGACAATACGTAACTCTAAGATGTCCCAATTGCACTAACTACAATGTCATGAAATATCAGGGAAAGTTCTGACAAAACGCCTGAATGAAAAGCATGCATGGCAATATTTACAACCACACAGATAATCGCGAATCGCAAAAGTTGCATGGTAGGGGAAGACACTACAGAAGGCGAGGAAGGTGCCAAGTTGTCTTCCACACGTGCCTGATGCTAATTAGATGTCACCACAAAATATATTCAAGCCACGAACCAATTCGCCCTCCTCCCAAACCTTAACACTACTGTGCCCATTGAAGCAGCTACCGGTAACAACGGTGCAACCAGCACGCCCCTCGTGCGACTAATTCTTATTGTTAGTATATTAAATATATACGAAGTTAGAACGACTCACGGTCACAGGAATAATCTGATCGCTCGGATTGCCGTGTTCTAACTGCCCTCGAAATGCCCCTGTACTATAATTGAATATACGAGCGAAACCGTCATCACCCCCAATGAAGATCAGCCCCGCCTGTCACGCAACTGAGATCTGCAAAGGAACATTGCGAATGATGACGTGACTATAAGACTGGACGCGCTGGAGGGTAGGAACCGTGTATTTGTCCACCCCATCTTTGAGATTGCTCACGAGCAGAAAATTGCCCTCGAGTGCGGTATTGCCGCTACAGGTTAGAGATCAACAGTCATGTGCGTGGAACGATACTCCACTTACATTCTTCCTTGCACTTTCTTGCGCCACTTTAAATCCCAGGGTTCAATAGAATAGCAGAATCTACGGAAAGGGGGGTCAGGGCGAGATCAAGAATGAGATGGTAAACTAACATTTCACCGCTTTCCAGGAATGATACTAGCAATGAGGCCCCATTATCGTAAAAGTGTATCGTGCACGCGATGTAGGGCTGTTTGTCGAGCTGCGAGGTAATGGTATTGAGGGTTCCTGGCAAAAATTGTAAACAAACCCTACGTCATGATATAATTGACAAGTAGCCAGCCCACTTACTGTCTGAAGTGAAATTCCATACATGCGGGTGACCATCACCAGCGCTTGCCAGCCGACGATGGACAGGATCCCAGGCAAGCGACTCCACTGCACCTGCGTGACCGGGCATGATGCTCTGGAATTGAAATAGTCCCTTATGGTCGACAATTGATGATTGTTAGCAGGGTACACACAGCTACCCAAAGTTGTACGTACATTATCAATCCGTTCATACACTTGGATATTACCATCCGAAGCCCCGAATGCGAAGGTTGTTTCTCCTTGGTCGTCAACGTCCATCCAAGTGATGGCACTAATAAAACCTGAAGCCGGTGCAAAGATTTCTTGAATCATTTCACCTGATGCAAGACTCCATACAACTATTCGATTATCATTGCCTATACCCACTATCAGCACAATTCAAATGAGAAATCGCCTGGTTACCTCCGGTTAGAAGCAATGCTCCATGCATGCTCACAGCCAATACATTGACTGCTTTAGTGTGGCAAGTGAGAGTGTATTTGCTAGAAAACTAGCATGGTGTCAATGAGAACCCGACTAAAGTTTGACCACCTACGTCCATGATCGATAATGGGAGACTTGAGAGAACAGAGTCTCGTCTTTATGCTCGCCAGCAGTCAAATCAATCACCATAACAGGCCTTAATGACATTGTTACCATGGACACTTGAATATAGGTTTGATCGAGGAAGTACAATTACGATGATAGCACTGTCGCTAATTGTCTTTAAGTTGCCCGTGAAATCAATAAGAACGACGAAGTCAGAAGCTTAACGATACCTCTCATGGCATTCAACTTACCTACCCACAGATTCAGCGCTTTCAGGCCACGGTACAATCTGTATAGTAGGCCACCACCACATTCCCTCAGGGAATCCTTGAAGGCATACGAAATACAAGAGATAGAATGGAGTATCAAGGTATCAAATGAATCCTTTGAACGTGAACTTCAGCAACGCGAAAGCCACGACGTGAATAAATCAATTACCCATAATTCCTGCCCACTGAACATTTTCAGGCGTTGATGGGATCTGCCATGGATCTCTACCTGCCCATCGCCGCAGGTAGTAGCACGTATGGCTGCGTGGACACCGCTATGGAAAATGATGAAGTTAGTAAGACCTCATTGCTATTTCAACACCGGAACTTACGTCTTCACAGGAAGTTGAACTTCTGAGCATAGTTTCAGTAACAAATATCTGGGGTGATGCTGCATGGTCTCGGTACCAGTCGCCGAAGAAGAAAAAACTCGTTCGCGGCCTGCACAAAGGCATAAATAAGTACATCGATCGCCACTGCAAGAAGCATGCGAAAACCGACCGTTTACGCGAGCGCATGTACATCGCGCTCCAAGCTGCACTGGTTGATGTGGATATTGACGATATCATGCTCGCTAAGAAACGGGCAGAGCAATCTCAGAACGACCTCATCCCACCTGCAGTAGCGGAATGCATTTTCAACAGAGTCCACAATTTTGTCTCCAAGAGAGTTAGACGCAGCTTCTTATTCCTGGGAGCTGCACCGACCATGAAATTATCAGCGTCAAGCGCTATGTACAATCAAAGTAAGTTGACAGACCTTCCAAAAGTTATAATTCCTAATTGTAACATTCAGCCACAATGCCCGGACACTTTGCCGACTGAATTTTCCAACGTTAAGATTAAAATAGTCCATGTACAAATTAGCGCAGAACATCAATTCAAAATCCTTGTACTTACACATTTGGTAGTGCGCAAGGCATCAAGTCAAGACTATGATTCTAACATTAAGGCACTACTACAAAATACAACGAAATTAAGACCATAGTCATCGCTATCGCTATTGTTAACACGACAGAATGAAAAGGAGTTCTGAACAAGATTTCGACCCTTAAGTAGTGAATGGCAGGTTTAAACTCCGCCGGAAATACCCGAAGTGGCTGAGTGGTTGAGCGGGCTGACGTGGAGCGGCTGCCGGATGTTTCCGTCGGAGGTTTAATTGAGTCTCACTACTTAGAACCGAAACCTTACTTTACTATCTTCCTTTTGTCTATTATAGTACTTTATTTTACAATTATAAGTCTTCCTTCGTAGTCTTTGTAGTCGTCATCGAGGCATTATTGTTTATGTATTACATTAGTACTTTACAATTACAAGTTAATTAATGTAGCCTTCCTTCGTAGTCTCAGTAGTATTCGAAGTCTTGTTGTATATGTTATTGTTACAGGTGACATCATGACCTCGAACTCCGGCACTCATATTTGTTACAAGTAACATCGGCTACATGGCCCCCCTATCATTTTTCCCCTTCGTCCTCGCCCTCGTATGCCTCCGGCTCGCACTTCTCTACCGACTATCCGTTGACCGGATCCTCGGGACCGTTCCCGTCCCTCATCCCCCTCCCATCGCACCAACGTGCGCACGTGCCTTCGGGCTATGACTCGTTCTGACTCGTGCCACCAATGTGGCTTTCCTTATCTTGTCTTATCTTTCCTTTGACTCGTGCATGATGCACATTGTATCATTTACCGTTGGCTCGTTCCAACGTTTCTCGGTCTCATTCCGCATTCGACCTTACATCACTAATCAGGCTCTGCCACCATCGTACCTATACCCTTTCCGTTTCCCCTTTGCCCTTACCTACAGTATGGTAGCCTTGCCCTTAACCCTTTCCACTTAGTATAAGTAGTCGGTCACTCTGTACTAGATTCCCTAACTTGAATCTACTCAATCTTCCCTCGAACATACTTTCCTCTGAAGCCCCCTCAGCTTCAGTCTCTAGTATCTTTTCTTAGGTGCTCATCGCGCCTAAGTCTACCTCGATCGACTACCTCATCGTTCGGACAAGACTGTCCTTACTTTGAGATTGTCAGTGACTTTGAAGACATCCGTCTTAGAAGTCACGTGACACGCGCGTCTCTGATATCTGCCGACTCGACGTCGCCAGTCTCAGTCGCTACACCGGACCCTTCCGGTTACGTCACGAACGTTAGCGGACGACGCCCCTCTCAGGGCTCCGCATAACAGATCTATTTGAGTGCGTAACAAAAGATTCAAGTTTCCCTTTTTTTTGCGCCCTGCCATCCGCACGGCCATTAACCGACAGACACCACGACTACCTGGACCCCGAAGTATCCTTGGGAACACGATCCCAACACTCCGGACTCCGAAGAAGAAGAATCGGAAGAAGACCATACGTCCTCCGACGAGTTTCCCGACGAACAACCGTACGGTAACCTCAACTCGAACCCTGGAACAAGAATGTCCGGAGGCCCCACCCCACAACCGACAGTGGTCGTATCCAGGCCTGAACTAAAGGCTGGAGTACCACAGAACTATAATGGAAACATCGATGATGCCGAGCGCTGGATGTACTCGGTGGAGACATACTTCCTCATCAACTCGACGATCTACAGCTCCGACCAAACCAAGGTCGCTGTTGCACTCCAGTATATGAACGATGGAGACGCCCGCGTCTGGGCTGACACCTTCTACCGAGCAGCCTTCGACAAAACTCCCGTCGACTTCGGTAGCTGGAAGGACTTCAGGAAGGCTTTCACTGAATCCTTCCACCCGGTCGACCGGATGACTGAGGCTCTAACCAAGCTTCATGGTTTGACCCAAACTGGCGACGTGATGCCCTACATCGCGACGTTCAAAACCCTGTCGTCCACTGCTAGTCTCAAGCAGGACGTCGCCCTCATCCACTTCTTCGAACGAGGGTTGAAACCAGGACTTCGAACCGCCATCTACACGAAGGAGGTCGTCCCCAACACCATCGATAAATGGTACACTGCCGCGACACAGTTGGAAGCCAACTACAAGCGATCAAGAGCAGTTGTGTCCAACAACAGATCGGTACGCCCTTCCGGGCACCGGCACGTCCCCAAGCCTCAGGTCCGCCAACGCGATCCTGATGCTATGGACGTTGATCGTTCCCTCACGCCTGAGGAACGACAGAAGTGCTTCGATAAAGGCCTTTGCTTCAAATGCAAGGAGAAGGGCCATCAAGCAAACGACTCCCGGTTCCACCCGAAGGTGCGCCGAGGAGACAAGAACGACGAAGAAGACAAAGGCAAGAAGCCAAGCAAGTCTGGCGTCCGCCAGCTTGACGAGTCTTCTGACGAGGAAGACATGGAAGTCAACCTTGTCAAAAGAAAGGATTTTTAAAGAGAGGGCTTGTCGAACGGTCAATTCCCTCTATCTGTGCATTGTATACTAAAGCTGTTGGTAAATCCAACGAGTTTCGTGTCCCGGTGACACTTTTCTCTTCTTGCAGTGCCAAAACCGTTCAGTCGACCGCCATCATCGACTCAGGGGCAGGTGGGACCTTCATTAGCTATGACTTCGTCAAGCGAAATGGGATCCGGACCCACCTACTCAAGAAACCCTTCCGGATCACCACAGTAGACGGAAGCCCGTCCTCGGCAGGACAGGTAACCCAATACTGCATGCTATTCATTCGTCTCGATCGGAGACTTATGTATGGAAAGTTCAACGTAACGAAACTTTCCAAGCATGATGATCTACTTTTTGGAAAACCTTGGCTTAGTGCCATGATGCCCAATATCGACTGGAAGGCCAACACGATCTCCCTGCCCGCGACCAATAGGTCAAAGGAGGTGGAGAGGGAACTCAACGCCTCCCGGCGAGAAAGCAAGGCCAAGCCATATCTCTTTCGCGGAGAAAAGGCTGTCCTAGAAGAGCTCGACGACGAGGACTTTTCGCCCCTCAAGCGACTCCCCAAAGGCACTCAACATTGCCTCGAGGAAATCAAGAAACGCAAGAAGCGTAACAAGAAGAAGACGGCGCCAATCATCGTGCCCTTCGAAGACACCGACTTCAATACCATGGACGATGTCTGGGTCGGACAGACCCATCTCGCGGATAAAGTTGAGGAGATCTCCACTTATCCCCTCACTGACGATGAAGTTCTAGTGGAATATGCTTCGGACGGAACATCCGTCCGGATCATCGAGAACATCTCTTTCGACACTCCGCTCACCAAGGACGGGACCTCGAAGAAAGAAATCCGGAGGGCTCTCCATAAACGAGCAAAACCTCTCCGGAACCTCTGGATCCTCGCTTCTCAGCAGGACTACACGAAGACCTCCAACAAAGCTCAAGAATTTGCTATGGAGGACGCGCAGGAGAAGAAGAAGAAATCATTTGAAGAACTGGTACCTTCCTATCTTCATGATTTTGCTGACATCTTTGCAAAGGACGGTCTGAACAAACTCCCCCCCTCACGGCCGGGAGTAGACCACAAAATCGAAACGAAGGAAGGCTTCATTCCGAAGTCTTCTCGAGCCTACCCGCTCTCACCGAAGGAAACCGATGCTGTCAAAGCATTTTTGGACGAACACCTCGCCAAAGATTTCATCCAATCCTCGAAGTCTCCTCAAGCTGCTGGATTCTTCTTTGTCGGCAAGAAGGACGGTTCTCTCCGCCCCTGCCAGGACTACCGATACATCAACGAATGGACGATCAAGAACGCGTACCCACTCCCTTTGATACCACCCTTGCTTGCGAAACTCAACAAGGCGCAATGGTTCACAAAGGTCGACGTACGATCAGGATATAACAATATCCTCATTCATCCCGACGACAGGTGGAAAGCCGCGTTCTCCACCTCATACGGGCTCTTCGAGCCCAAGGTAATGTTTTTCGGATTGTGCAATTCACCTGCCACCTTCCAAGCTTACATGAACCAGACATTTTCAGAAGAACTGAACGAAGGATGGTTAATCGTCTATATGGACGACATCCTGATCTTTTCTGATAACCTGGACGAACACCGGCAAAGGACCCGCCGAGTGTTGGAGAAACTCCGCAAAGAGTCTCTCTTCCTCAAACCCGAGAAATGTACTTTCGACTCTCAAGAAGTCGAGTACCTCGGTATGATCATTCGACCTGGACAGGTCGCTATGGACACTGCCAAGCTGAAAGGCATCAGCGAATGGCAACAACCCTCTTCGGTCAAGGACGTGCGGTCCTTTCTTGGATTCTGCAACTTCTACCGTCATTTCATTCCCCACTACTCTGACATCGCACGCCCTCTCCTCGATCTAACCAAGAAGGAGATCCCCTTCTCTTGGTCCGATTCTACCGAGGCTTCATTCCAGCATCTGAAGAAGCTTTTCACCACCGAACCGGTTCTGCAGAACCCCGACTCCTCGCGACAGTTTGCACTTGCAACTGACGCCTCGCTCTTCGCGACCGGAGCAGTCTTGCTCCAGACGGATAGCAATGGGGATTACCACCCCTGCGGCTACCTCTCCCAGTCCCTCAACGCGGCCGAACGGAACTACGAGATCTACGACCGAGAACTCCTTGCCATCATCCGAGCCCTTCAGGCTTGGAGGCACTTCCTCGAAGGAAACCCTCACCCAGTCATTGTCTTCACGGATCACAAGAACCTGATCTATTTCCGCTCCGCGCAACGACTCACCCGACGACAGGCCCGGTGGCACCTCACGCTCACCAACTTTGATCTGGAACTTCACCATGTTCCTGGAACAAAGCTCGCTGCACCGGATGCCTTGTCCCGCCGTCCGGACCACGCTATAGCTGGTCAGGATAACGAGGATCGTATCCTCCTCCCCGACACCCTGTTCACCCGTCTAATCGACGCTGAACTCGCAGACGAGTTTCAATGACTCTCT